GTCGCTCATGACGCTCGTCCTCTTGTTGGCCTTGACGCCCCCGCTTGAAGCCTCTGCTGACCTGCCATCGCTGGCGCGTGTGGGCTTCTTTCTGATCTTCTCAATCAACGTTGACAATTGGCCTGGCATGATGAATAGTGATTATGATGAGCATGTGAGAGGAGAGGAAAGGAAAGGAAAGGAAAGGAAAACTGAAGGTATGTAGTAGGCGGGGAAGTCTCCAAGTATGAGCAAAGTAGCTTGCGAAAAGAGCAATGGGCACCGATAGGCGTCGTGCTCCCAACGCAGACCCTTAGTCCAGCGACAAGAAGCAAGGTGCAGAGCGACGATCACCTGCAGGCATGATGCAGTGATCAACATGTCGGCTCGGTGAGCAGTTCCAGATATCGTCAATGGGCGTTTTTCGGAGCTATGCGTAAATGGGCATTGTGTATGATGGGTTTTTGGACCTTTGCGCTGTATTCGCCATCTTTCCCGTCGATCCTATTGGCGCTCTGCGGCCATGTGAATGATATCACTAGTGGGATCTTATAGCACGGTCACTGATCCACGGCTGAACACTGCACGTCCACCTCGATCGGACGCATCAACAGCGGTGATCAGACCTGTAAATGGTCCCTTCTGCACCCTTGACTCGCAGGATGCACGATTGATAGGTCAGGTAATAAAACTCGCTGCAGATCTCGGTCACGCTATGAGCTGTCAAGCAGAAGAAATCTACAGGGGACCTACGGATGCACCTGTCTATCGGGTACGTGAACCAGGCGGGGAAATGGGGTGAGAGGTGAAGGAACCAAACAAGTCGTACTTCGAATGAACTCGAGCGGAATTCGCGGGTAGCTGGATAAGGCGAGCAGGAGAGGTACTAGGAAGTAGTCCTGTCGTTGTGGCTGGCGGAGAAGCACGTGAACAAGCCTCAAAAATTACCCTGTCGAGTAGGGTGCTAGGGGCCGCCTTTCCGCGGTCTACGGCCTGTCCCGGATATGCAAGGTCACGCTGACCAGGCTGAAGGCGCTGCATGGTATGTTACTGGGGAGGATCTCCTGGTGCGCCAAACTCGGCGGGTAAGAAGTACGTATCCCAAAATGGCCGGTTAAATCCTTGTGCAACGAGCACTAAATTGGGTGCAACACCGTTGCAGAGCTCAATCTTTGCAACGGTGATTCATCATGTTTCCTTCTCGAGAGTTAGCATATGTGTGGTGCTCGTTCTAGTGAGTAGCTACACTATTGTGGAAGCAGCCATTTTTCTCCGGTTATTGTGGTGGGCCAGGAATGGACAAGATCAAGCAAGGCGACGATCGATAGACGAGACGAAACAAGGGTGGGTGGGGTAGCGATCTCAGCGGCGGCCCGTAATTGATCGGCCGCAGGGTAGCGGCTAAACCGCATATGGATGAGATTGGACATGCTTTTCAGCAGCCAGTGTCGGCGACCCCATCGACCTCAGCTCCTCACATCACCGCTGATCGACACGACTGATGGCACTACATGACTCTCCCCGCCCAAGCAAAGCAACTCCATCATTACGCCCGTCGTTCGTAACAATTGCGTACTCTGCCTTCACTAGCTACCTTTTGGTCCATCACCATGTCAAACCCTGTCTCAAATGTCTTGTCACCATGTCACCTCAGGTCATATTTCGCTTCTTTTTCTTTTGCCCTTTGCATACAGCAAAACATGGGAGCGGTCTGTCTCGAGTCTTCACCGTGCATTTTGTTGATTTTCGCCTTCGCATACGAGCCGCTTGCGCCTCATGTTTCCGTGTGCGGCAGGTGGAGACTCAAACAAATTAGCTCGCCCTACTAGTCTATTGCATATCTGTGGAATGCATGTGATGAACTGAGTCGATTAAAATCTCCCAACAGCCTCTAACTGGCTCCTGGACGGCTCCGTCTCATCAGCGGGCTGTCCTATCGAGCCGTAGGTGGGTGTGCCCTTATGCATGCTGCGTCAATCTTGGTGATCGACACTTTTGCTTCCCAGAAAACCACGCGCCAGCTGATGTGGGGGAGAAGAAACGCGCATAACCCTGTTGCAGACTTTTGTTCCTCGGACTCAGCTGCCGGTAGATATCTCTTTACGTGTCTGATGTGTTGAAATCCCCACTTTCCAAGACCTGGTTGATATCTTCCCCAAACAACGAGCCCCTCCCGCTCGCATTTTGACTTGGCCAACATGCCTTCCAAGGATACCGAGCAGCTGCGTCCACAGAATCCTGCACCCCAGCTGGCCACATCGATTCGCAGCGAAAATCCAATGGACTACGGAGCTACACAGCACCGTCAAGGTCATGTAACCAAGAAGTTTGTCTTGTGCTTCGATGGCACAGGTAACAAGTTCTCTGGAACAGATTCAGACAGTAATATTCTCAAAATCTATCGCATGCTTGATCGCAATGGCGATGACCAGTTTCATTACTACCAGCCGGGTATTGGCACTTATATTACTAAAGCCAGTGGTTCTATGACCAGAACAGGCCGATGGGAAAGATTCCAGTCATGGTATGCCAAAGCAAAAGACAGTGCAATCGGTAGGTTGGCCCTTGTTAGTGATTTTGCACAATCTAACGCTACCAGGAACGTCCTTTGACATGCACGTTATGGCGGGATACAAGGTATGTCAGCAAAGTCTTTCCAAGCGGGGTTGTAACGAGCCCTTGGAATATAGCGTCACCGTCATCACAGTTTTTTATTGACAGATTTGTAGTTTTTAATGCGATATTACACTCCTGGGGATGACATATATTTTTTCGGTTTCTCGCGAGGCGCCTACACCGCTCGCTTTCTTGCCGAAATGCTGGACCATGTCGGTTTACTTTCTGTGAGTATCTGATAATTGTAGCATAATGCGCATTGTTCTAAACCTTAGCAGGCGGGTAATGAGGAAATGTGCCAGTTTGCGTGGAAGTAAGTCTTTTCACAGGCATGACGAGATCCTGCTGACTAGGCTTTAGGACATTTCAAAAATGGCAATGTCGAGTCCCAGAAGAGGGGAAGCACAGAAAACCTGGTCAAAAGTCAGAAAAGCATAAACAACTTGAGTTCATGTGCGCCTTCAGAGAGACGTTTAGCCGTCCTGTCAAGCCCATCCGCTTCCTCGGTCTTTTCGATACTGTCAATAGTGTCCCGGCCTTTGAGAATGCATGGATGCAACGCAGCAGGTTCCCATACACTGCACGGAGTAGCGCGCGCGTCATTCGACATGCAGTTTCAATCGACGAGCGTCGTGCAAAATTCCGACAAGATTTGATATCCCAGGAAAAGCCAGACAGGTCTATGTACTACAAGCACCGTCATAAGCATTTGAACCAGGTCAAAGACATGGTTCATAGTCATGACGATCATGAGCATGTTGATGAAAAAGACACTCACGGTGAGGAAGACAGAGGTCGACGTGACAATCTTCTTCCTCCTGAGCGATTTAGAAATCCTCATGACACTTCGGGAGTGCGCAGTTCGAGCAGGGGGTACAATAATCGCTCGCTTACTCCCTCGATGCGATCAGTCGACGCCCATGGGACATACGCCTCAGAAGATGAAGAAGGCGAACAAGACATTAGGGAAGTCTGGTTCCCTGGCTGCCATGCTGTAAGTGCGATCTTAACATAACAACATGATTGATAAAAACTAACCACAGTATAGGACATTGGAGGTGGTTGGCCCATTGAAGACGGTGACGCAGCACTAAGCCACGTCCCTCTCGTCTGGATGGTACGTGAAGCCCAAAAAGCCGGTCTCGAATTCGACGAGGAGAAGCTAGAAGCTCTAAGCTGCTGCTACGAAAACGCCATGTCCGGTGGTGGTGGCCACACGCACAACGACGTCCCAACCATCGAAGTCGATCCCGCCTCGCCCTCGCCCACCGACGGCGACGCAATTACGTCCAGTGGAATCACGGGCTACACCGACGACGAAACCATTCTTTTGCACCACCGCGAGACTCCAGACACGCATTTCCACCAGCACCTCAACGCTGCAGCGACCAAAGGCCGCATCCACGACGTCCTGCAGTTCAACAACGGCGTAAACCGCATGGGCGTCATCTCTTGGAACATAATGGAGTATCTCCCCTTCCGCCGCATGGACCTCCAAGAAGACGGCAGTTGGAAAGCTATCCGCTGGCCGCTTCCCAAAGGCGAGACACGTGACATCCCCGCCAACGCCGTTATCCACTGCAGCGTCATCAAGCGCATGCGTGCGGATCCAAAGTACCGGCCTGGCAATTTGATTGTAGGCGGTGGAGGTAGGGGTGTGCGAACTGCGCCGGATGATTACGGTATGGGTAAGTGGGTGGTGTCGTGTGAAGAGGGTCATCATGTTGGTGAGTGCTTTGTTAGACGGCATCCGCCCGAGCGTACGAAGACGGATGAGACGACGGGTGGGAGTAAGAGAAGTAAGAAGAGTAAGGAGGATTACATAAGCGCGAGGAGGGCATCGTGTGGGACGAATTGTGAGGCGTAGGTTTTTTTTGGGTCTTGAAAAGCGTTGTGTTGGTAGTTGGCGAAATAGGCTGTTATCACCGGGCGTGTAGTTGCAAGTCCTTGGGAAATTGGACGGAGTTTTGATATTTTTTTTTCTAATCATGTTCTTTCAAGACTGCTAGGGCGTTTTGAACTTCTAATAGACAGTTTCGTTCATTAATTGAAGATGTCAATATTAAGTAATGCCGCTTTTGAGCTCCCCTATCCACATTACGTTCAATTAGCTTTCGCTCATCATATAGTTCTCTGTTCATGCCTCTTACAACCAGCCAAGCTACGCCACACCGAATTCCATAATAATCTTACAATCCACAAAAAAACTCAACATCACATGTGCAAATAAATTCAACACGTGCTACGCCGTATATGCCAAAAACCAATTTACAATTTAAAAATCCCTATTAATCCTTCCCTAAGCCCCAAAACACCCTTGAAAATATATTTCCCCAAAAGAACCCCAGCAATTTCCACATCACCACCCCATCCCTCATCTCCAACTTCCACCCCCTTCCTCACCCCTACTGCAAAGAAAAATACACCGCCCTAGCCGTAGCCCTGACCTCCTTCTCCTCTACCTTCCTCTGCTTCTCACTCTTCTCTTCATCTAGCCCAGCCGTCAGCTTTCTTTCCTTCACTCTCCACATCCACATTTTTTCTGAAAAGAAAAGGAGATTGGCGAACTTACGTCCCGAATTCCACATTTTACCAAAGAATTTCTTCGACGTCGATGTACCAGAGAGTACTGAGTTTGTATCGGACGATGCGGAGTTGTAGGAAGGAGGCGAGAGAGTCGAGTAGACCGGTGGTGCTTGCACCGTAGTAGCCGTAGCAGCGGTGACCTTGGAGTGTGACGACGCCATTGCAATTTCTAATTTCGATTTCGATTGATTTATAAAACGTGAAGAAAGAAAAAGTTAAAAAAAAAAGAAAAGAAAAGTAGTGTTTCACACGAAATGGCGGTTGGTAAGTTGGTATGAACTGAACTTGCTGTGAGTGTAGTATCGATTTATTCTATGCCTTTTCTCCTAGACATATATATATATGAAAATTCATACGTCCAAGGCTATATGACTCTCCCACGCCCTTTTTCTCTCATCGGTCACCATTTCCCCCCCAAACTCCGCATTCACAAGACCTACACGCCATGCCATTCGGAATTCATACCCACCCACCCACTCACTCACGAGTACCGCCCTTCGCAGCGGCAGCTGAGCCCGTAAAAGAAAAAAAGAGTAAGCGGAGTAAAGAATGGTATTCAGTGTGAGTCGAGGTGGTGTGCGTGCGCCTTAGGGCTTAGGCAGCAGTTTGAGTGTGCAAGGGGGGATGGGCGGGTTAGGCGTCCAATGCCGAAGGCTAGGTTGGCTTATGGAGATTCGAGAACGACAGGGCGCGGGGAGAAAGAGGGAAGTATGCGAGAAATGAGAAATTAGTTTATTCCGAGGAGTTTGGGGGAAATAAGGAGAAGGAAGGGAATGGTGGGGGGGGGGGAAGGGTTCGGAGTTGCGTGGGTTGAGGACAGGAATGTGGGATCGGAATAGATGGTGCGTGTGTGGCTTGATGTAGGTTATTCCGGAATACATGTATGAAGAATGACTGGAAGGGCGTTAGGTAATAGGAGGTGTGGGCTTGGTGCGGAAATCGTCACACTGATAGGTCTGGTGGAAGAAGGATTAGAAATTAATTTGGATGTGGTATGATTCTCAATTCCGAAAGGAAGATGAATGGATACATAAAGAGTAACAGGTTACAAATATTTACAGAGAGAAAAAAAGTATAAAAGCAACATGATGCTTCATTTCATATCACTCTACAAACACTGAGAGTAAAATTCACCCGATGCCTTGCAACTCGATCCAGAAGCACCTATGTATAGTCAGTAAAAAAAGGACGTTTCTCAACCACACATTCACTCTCCATGTTGTAAACTTACAAGTCGTACACCCAGTAAACCCCTTCCCACCACACTGCCCATACTTCGCCACCGAGCAACCCCCACCACTACCACCACCATTCGTCGGCGCCGGCGCCGCAGACGTCACCACCGTCGACGTCCTCAACGTACTCGTCTGAGTCGGCGTAGCAGCCGGCGGACCGCCCGTAGCCGTAACCACCGACCCAGCCTGTCCCGCAACCGCTTCGGTGCCACCCGCAATAACGGCGGGGCCAGGGGCAACATACGACGCAAGTTTCTGATAGATATTAATCAGAATCCCCGGATCAGACGCCTTGTACGCCCCCGGGAAAGAAACGCCAGATGGAACCGACGAGCCACCTCCTGTAACGGTAATCTGATAACACGTCATGTAAAACTGTGCTCCGCCCGAGCTCCCAGCCGCATGCAGCGCAATAGCTTCAGCACGCAGGAGGTAGTCTCCCGCAGCGAGGTCCGCAGGAATCTTGACGTCCATCTTGCCGCAATTCTTGTTCAGGTCTTTGGTGCCCCAGTAGTCGTCTGAGCCCCCGCCGCCCGACGGATTCTGCGCCCAGGTGTCCTGGAAGATTTTGAAAAAGGGGGCGGAGCCGTCGGCGGTGGAGGCGTCGGAGACTTTGGAGAGGTAGACGAGGACGGGGCCGTAGTGGGCGCCGCCAATGGCTTCGTTGGCGCAGGAGCGGTCGCCGTTTTGTTGGTGCATCTCGATGGTTACCGTGGTGCCGGCTGGGACGCTGCATTTGGAGGAGGCAGGGCCTTGGTTTACGTTGCAGCGGATGTCGTTGCTTGTGACGGAGGTGACGGGGCTGTTGCTGTTGGGAAGTCTTGCGCAGGTGGACTGGTGGGTGAGTGTTAGTGTTGGAGAAAGAATGGTTTTGGAGGATACATATCTTGTCTACTCCGTTGACCCAGAGATCTTGGAATGTTGCGTGAGCAGCAACATGAGTTGCAAAGGCAGATATGCCGGTTAGCAGGAGCGTGTTTTTCATTACAGAAGTTGTATGGCGTTTGACTATGTAAGAAGATATAGGAGATGATGAGAAGTGACTTCCAATGTGATATCGTACTGGACATTACAATCCTTTTATATTGAGATATAGGCAGCTAAATACTACACTACATCCTCGGTTGCGTGTCGCTTCCAGCACGTCTTGACAGGCGGGGCTTTGGGGTATACCAGGTCGGATGACCTGGATGTATAAACGCAAAGCTTGTTTTTCACCCGGATCCGGGTTGAGTTTTCCACACGTGGTATAATGTAGGTGGGATGGATATTAATCGTCCTGCAAGGCGTCCTTTGTGACGCATGGGCACTCTCATAGTGAGCGCTGGGGTGTTCTCAAGGCCTCGTCTCTCTAGTGGACCATCTGTATATAATACATATGGCATATAGGACCCACCGGGTGATAGTTCCGTCTAGTTGGGTTTCAGTGGGGTTGTAGGAAAACGGCGTTGGTTGTCTCCAATATTCCATAGGGATTTGGATGTTTTCTCAATTTCTTGCTTGCTCGTCTTTTATTTCATCCAAGATGGAATAACTTGTGCTTTTTGTGGGGTTCGGTTTACTTGGTGAGGTCAGTTACAGCCGTAAAGATACACCCATTGAAGTGACGGTGACTTGAGATGACCTCGCTAATAGTCGATATATTAAGTCAACAAGCTATCGAAAGTAATTTGTTTAAATGAAGACACGCCACGTGCCGAATCGCGCAGTCCCCGGATCTGTAGCTTGGCGAGAAGCTTGTTTTACGTCCATGTATGACAGCACCAGTAATGGACTTTACTATCAACGAGGGATTATTTGGTGTTTGTGTGTTGATGGGTCCAGGGGGGCACAGTGTTGGGTTGCAAGTTGTGCGAGGCTGTCTCGTCACGAACCAATCGGCTAGTCGTGCTGGATATTAAGCACATGCACTTTCGAAAACTGCTTTCCTTCTCAACGATTGGTGCTCGATTCTGTAAGAGTCACAGTTTTTTCTGTACCTTTTTCCTAATACCTCAAGTACGAAAATGCTTTTCCAATGCGTGTTGGCACATGACTTGAGCAACTGCACGCGACATCAACCAATAGCACCACGTCTGGACATTATTTTCCTACATTATACTTTATCCCACACCATCTCCGCCTTTCCCACCTACTATCCAGCCTTCCAGATACCCCACATACTACCCTGCCCCGGCAGTACATTTTCACGTTGCAGTAGTCCATCCGTGTATCCGCTTCAGCGACGCTTGTGGCTACAGCACTGCAAGTAACAGTGTAGCGATATCTCGAGTCCTGTTTGAACCATTCTATCATACCAGGGGATTGTGAGTATATGGTAGAAAACTGTCAGGTTTACGAGATCCAGGCAAGTCAATGTCTGCAAAGCGAGGTTGATTTATGCATCTGGGAATACTTCAGAAATATTAAGCGTTATTTCAGTAGACGTTTAGTATTTGCTTTTTTCGGGTGACTTTAAGCTAGAGAGGGAATGTGTAGATGGAAGCGGTGTACGAGATAGAGGGGATTTGAAGGCATGGTACTGATACTTCTCTCTTTTTCTTCCCAAATTACTTTTACTAGTCGGTGATTTGGTCAAGAGGACGATATGGAGACTAGTTGGGTTATCGAGCGGGTGCAAATTGGCAAGATAGATGTTGCACAAACGGAAATTTTTTCAAGATGGGGAACGGGAAGAAGAAAAGGGAGTGAAAAGCAAAGCTTCGAAGAGAAGGTGTCTTCGCTAAGCCGAGGGAATTCTATTGTTACATCCATCACACCGCCTGCAATCCGGATATGCCTCTTAATCGATACTTTTTCATGCCGCATGAAGAGACGGAACTTTAGGCTGGGAAATGGATAGAGAACGAAGTTCTATAAAACCACGGCTCCTGAAGATGTCCTGGCCATCAGTTTCAACCCTACGTCTTTTACGTTCTATTTGATAAACTGAAGCTACAATGCGTGCCTCTTGGATCTTCGGCGCTTTCGCCCTCTACGAAACAACTGTCTTTGCCGATGACACGCAATATGCCATGGGCGGACTCGACCTCCCTGGAACCACGTACGGATGCGAGAACGGCAAGTAAACCTAACAACAGTACTTAGCACTTGGCACATCTAACACGAATGGATAGGCGGCAACCCCTCAATCACTTGTACAGATCCGTCACTAAACAACCACGACTGTTCATGCACATGTACAAACGGTATCACATTTAGGCAGCCCGTCCCCTCGCCCCTTGGAGTCAACGCAACCGCCTGTCCTTCGCTAGACGAGTGCCAGGCGGGCAACATGCAGTGCCTGGAGCGTGAGCAGACGCTACTATCACAACTGGTATCCAAGCAACAAGAGCTGGTGGACCGCGAGAAGACGCTACAAGAACAACTGGTGGCCAAGCAACAAGAGCTAACGAACAGCGAGAGGACACTATCAGCGCAGCTCACAGCCAAGCAAAACGAGTTGAATAATAAGAAGTCCTATCTTTTTTTGTCCGTAAGCTGCCGCATCGAGACGAACAACGGCATGAACACTGGTGGCAAACCCTACCAGAGACTCCCAAATAACAGCCCGGTGGTATGCGCGAAAACCTGCATCGATTCTGTTGCCTTTATACTCGGAGATGGAAATGGATGCTTGTGCATGAATAGGACTATGGGTACTCTGGAGGCTCCGGTGGCCGAGTGTTCGACGAGATGCCCTGGAGATGCAACTCAAACGTGCGGATCGCCGACAAGGGCAAGGTTGTACTTTAGGTTTCCGTTTTGAAAGATGGCAGAGTGGGTATGGCTAGGAAGGGTGGGAAATATGCGGGGTTGAGTTGGAGACAAAGAGGATTGCTAGAAAAGCCGTCGTAGTGGGCCTCAAGATGGGATATACTACCGGTTGAATAGAAATGGTCTGTTGTTTGTTTGAAAAATGCATTGCACCATAGGACAAGGTGAAGGCGCACAGCGCACGTGCCAAAAACGGGATACTAATGCAGTTGAGAAATCGTGTCCTCCGTGCATGTGCGATCTACTTGCACTACGCTCCGCGGCCCGTCGTTTCCTTTAGGCACCGGCAAGAAGATGGAATGGAGGGGCGGCAAAAGAGTGGGGTAGCCGTTCCATGACGTTTGAGCTCTGCAGCTACCTAGCTGTACAAATCATCAACAAGCCCTCGCTGCCCACGAAGCACTCTTTTGTGACTGTTGCTTAGCACTTTGTCATTGCCAATTGCTTTTCCAAACAAGGAACAACCAAACAGACAACAGCAAACTCGACAATGGCTTCACCAAAGACGGTTCGTTGGGGTATCCTGGCTACAGGAGGCATCGCCCTCACCTTGTACGTTGTGATGGCTTACCCCGCCATGGTGCCACCACGTCCCGCCCCCACCATGGATGACTATGGCAACCAGGCTGACGAGACAATCACAGCACTAAGGATCTGCTGTGCGATCCCACGACTCGCGGCGTGAACCATCTCAAGCACACGGTTGTTGCCGCCGCGTCGTCGACGTCGGAATCGCGCGCCAAAGACTTTCTCAAGGAGGTCGGCGCGCCGTCGGACGCAAAGGCATACGGATCGTACGATGAGTTTGTTAAGAACCCAGACATTGACGTCGTGTACATTGCCACGCCGCACTCGCACCATTACCAGAATGCCATGCTGTGCTTGGAGGCAGGCAAGAATGTGCTATGCGAAAAGGCCTTTACCGTCAATGCCGCCCAAGCACGGAAGCTTGCCGAAGTTGCCAGGTCAAAGAACCTATTCCTGATGGAGGCGGTATGGACTCGCTACTTTCCCCTGTCAATATATGTGCGTGACCAAATCACTTCTGGGCGCATTGGACCCGTCGCGCGCGTCCTCTCCGACAACAGCATGGCGCTCGACCCTGAGAAGAGCTTTGCAGATGGCAAGAACCGCATGGTCAACCCAGACCTAGCTGGTGGTGCCCTGCTTGATCTCGGCATCTACTCTCTGACTTGGGTCTTCCAGACCATATACCATACGCAGTCCGAGAAGACGCGCCAGGCGCCCCAGATACAAGCCTTTGTCAAGAACTACGAGCCGACAGGAATGGCTGATGAGCACAGCACCGTGATTCTGCGATTCCCGCGCTCAAAGGAGGAGGGCGGTGAGGCTCATGCTGTAGCCACAACGTCTCTTCGCGTAGCTACTTCACCAGGGGGAAACATGGACGCGCCGTTTGTTCGTATCCAAGGACCATTGGGCGAGATCCAAGTGTTTGGGTCGTCGTTCCGGCCCCGCTCGATCAAGATTATTACCAACGACGGCAAGGTCGAGTCCAAGGAATTTCCTATCCCAGGCCCAGGTAAGGGAAGCGGCTGGTACAACGGCTTTGGTGGCTCACTGCAACCAGAAGGAGAGGGCCAGGGCATGTTCTGGGAGGCGGATGAGGCAGCTGATGCCATCATCAACGGCCGGAAAGAAGGCAGGTTCCTAGGCCTGGATGAGAGCGTCTTGATCATGGAGGCTATGGATGAGGTAAGGAAGCAGGGGGGGCTGGTATACCCTGACAAGATTGAGACATTGGACTACCCTACGCAACTGTAAGTGCGGTCAGGTGGGCGATTGCGTATGTGATGGGACATGTGGGCCTATGCCTAGACAATGAGTAAATGGCGCATGCATGGAGATGATACATGAGACGGAAGGGGGTTTTTTTCTGATCAGCATGTGGGAAATGCTAGGCATTAGCTATCATGTTGTCATGTTTCGGGCATTGGTGCAGTTGACCGCCATAGCAATAGCGACAATCTTCGGCTAGCACTAGCTCTGCGGTATAAATGTTCCCGAGTTGCTCCGCTGTCCGAGATGGATGCGATCTTCGCCCTTGTGACGAGGATGGCTCCAACAGGGGGTATGGTTGACCACGAGTGTCTTGCAATGGCCGGTTTCATGCCTGCCGTGCCCAAAGCGGAGAGCAAGTGTGGATATAGACTTGATGGGGAGAGATTGGCACAGTGTTGGAAAGGGTAAAGTGAGCCGTAAAGGCTGTAGAATGACGTTATGCTAGTCGGCATGACCCGAATCGGGAGCAGGATTACCAAGCTGATGGCGCAAGATGCAAGATGCAAGCGCAGCGGCCAGGGGGAGAGGGAAGGATGGAGTCAATTGGGCGGATGCGGATCGTGCTCTGAGGAGGAATGCCGTGTCATGGAAACGTGTCAGCGGAAGTGCATCTGGCTGGGCTGGGAGAGGATGATTGAGGCATGGCATGGATGACAGGCAGTGTGGGCTTTTCGGGTTTGCGCGGCACGCGGAAGCAGTACCGGGACACGAAGAAGGATTTGGGGTGGGTCTTTTCGGGCCTTTGGTATCTGAACATGGCCCAGACTTTAGACCAGCCGACGATCTGTAGACAACAGATCCCCGAAGTCCCGTGCAGTGTAGCCATTGATACGGTAATACGGAACATGGGTTTTAAGGCCTACCGACGACTTGAAACTGGCGTCGGCTAGTGGCAGTGGCCGGACCCTGCTGCCTGGGGCTTTGAAACCAGCTGGTAGGGGAGGTGCAGGTGCAGGCTGCAGCAGCCTGAAGTGGCACTAGCAAAACGTACCCAGAGCGGTCGTGGGCGGCACAGAGGATACAGGTGGAAGGGGGCAAGGAGGGTTCTGTTGTCGCTGTTGGTACACTACACAACTCGTGGTCCAAAACACGGCTAGTAGAGGCTGTACATGTCCTTTTCGTTGTTTTTGTTTTTTTTTGGACTCGGTGGTGGGTGAGGGGAGATATGGCGTGCTCTAGAATACGGCAGGTGTGTAGTAAGTAGGATGCAGGGTGGCAGGAGTCCAGGTCGGCGAGGGGTGTTGCCCACAAGGGTAAGAATAGCGATGGTGGTGGTGATGGTAGACGGAAGATGCCGCTGCTAGGCCTGGTGGGGGATGGCGGGCGTGTGCCTCGCAACGGGAACATGTGGCTGGGTAAGTAAGTAGAGATGGTGGAGGGATGCACAAGGGATGGGAGATGCAGCGATGCAGCGATGCAGCTTGGATAGGCCGAGTCATGGGGGGCGCAATCGATCGTGCAGGAGAGCAGGGGCGAGTCATGTGGGGCAGGAGGGTTAGTGTCTACTACTCTGGACATAGACGTAGTACGGCGGGCGTAGCACGACTTGGAATCTTAGTAGGCTGGCTGGTAGCACTCGTTGTCGGTTGGCATCCGAGTTCCCCGCATCACCAAACGGTGGCGCAACCAGGCCCAGAGCATGCCTCCGAGCCGCACGCAGACTGGGAGCAAGCTGGCGTGCCAATGGCTGTCGATGTGTGTCGACACAATTCACACATGCATCGGCGATGTGAGGCGAAGCAGCAAGTCGAGGCGGCAGGGCGCACTGTGGCAGGCGGCGGCGGCGGCGGGGCAGGCAGGGCCCACGGGCAAGGAGACGACGGTAGAGATGGGCGGCAGTGGTGGTGGTGGTGGTGGTAGTGCACTTGGTAGTTTACGGATAGCGGTCATGGTAGTGGTACGGGTAGTGGTGGTGGTGGTAGTACGGATAGTAGTGGTGGTGAATTCCCGACGGACCGGGAAGACGCACCATGGCGGGCTGGCGGGCTGGATGGCGGGCTGGCCGCGACACCGAGTCCCTGCACTACGATTGAAAAGTTCGGCGCAATCGCTTTCGCATCTCGCACTGGCAGCGGCAGTTTTGGACGAGTGGGCAGCGTGGTCGAGACGTGCACACGACCACCACGACCACCATGCTTCTTCTTCTCCCTGCGTCGTGAATCCCGCCCCCATGTCCTCCTCGACGCCCGCGCCAACAACAAACTCGCGCCGAGTCCCGCTCGACAAACGCAAGCGCACCGAGACGAGTTGCGACAAATGCAAGTCGCGCAAGCAGAAATGCCGCAAGGAGCCCGGCCAGGACGCGTGCCGGTACTGCCTGGTACACAACATTGAGTGTCTTACCACGCAGCCTCGCAAAAAGCGCCTGTATGGCAGTGTCGAGGGCCTCGGGACCCGCCTGGCGCTGCTCGAGGCCCTCGTCAAGGGCCTGCTGCCAGAGGCCGATGTCTCCAGCACCGATGCCCTGCGCCAACTCGCTACCTCGCACGGCATCCCCCTCCCAGAATCCATAGCCGCCCACGGCGATGCCGACCACGACGACCAAGCCGACCCGGACGGCGACGACACTGTCTCGCTGCTGCCGGACCAGCAGGGCCAGGTGCAGTACATTGGACCCGCCAGCTCCTTTGCCTTTCATCTCAAGTTGCGTACTCTAGTCGGCCGCGGACCTCTGCGCGAGTTTGTCCTCTTTGGCAAGAATGCCGCCTCGACATCGCCTGATGCCAGCGACCATCTCCACCAGCAGCAGCAGCAGCAGCAGCATCACCACCACCACCACCACCACCACCACCATGCCCTGTCCAACGCGCCCGGCTCCCTCGACCCCACCGCTGCCGCTGCTCACCTCGCCCCGAACCAGCGCCCGACCCTCGAGCTGCTCATCCGCACCTTCTTCGACCGCATCCACCCAGATATCCCCGTCCTGCACGAGCCCTCGTTCCGCGAGGCCTACGATGCCTGGCTCGCAGACCCCCGCAATGCAGACCCCGCCTGGCTATGCACCTTCACCTGCATGCTGCTACTCGCCCGCCGTGTCGCCCGCGTCCCCTTTGCTGAGGACCAGGAGCGGTTGTGGTGGCACCGCGTCCAGAAGCTGCTCCCAGGCGTCATCTTCACCTCGAGCGTCACGGCTGTCCAGGCCCTGATGCTCACTGCCGTCCACCTGCACAACACCAACCACCGCGACGCCTGCTGGAACCTGACGGGCGCCGCCATCCGCATAGCCCATGCCATTGGCCTGCACCAGGACAGCGTGAGCGCAGGCAGCACGCCCCTCGCCAGGGATACGCGCAGGATGTTATGGTGGGCCCTATACGGCTTCGAGAGCATGCAGGTATCCTCCTACGACCGCCCCAGCGCAATTGAAATGGCCGGTGGAAAGCTCCGCTACCCCAATGACAAGATGATGAACTGCCCTCCTGGCCTCCTGACCGCCTATTGTCGTATGTGGGCGCTCTTGGGCACCGTGTGTCGCGCGCCTAGGACACTCAAACCAAACTCCAGCGACGAGTCGTACGTCGGACCCCTGTCCCCCGCCGCATCTGCCCTGCGCGACCTGAGCCGGTGGAAGGAGACGCTCCCACAGCATTTGCAACCAGAAGCCATTGACGCTACCCCGCCCCCTTGCCAACGGACTCTGATCATGATGCACAGTCTCTATCATTACGCTATAATTGTTTTGTGTCGCTCAGCACTCCTTGCCCGTGCTTCTACTCTATCAAAAACCGGCACGGACTCGGCCAATTCAGCTCTGATAGCAATGGCTGACGCCTGTTCGGAATCCGGTCGCGACCTGGCTCAGTTGCTGCTCAAGTCTGATCATGCTGGAAATTTTGATGCCGTTGTCAGTTTCGACATTTGGTACATGCTAGCCTCAAGCTCAGTGCTAGTTCTGGACTTGGTTTGTCTAAACAAACTCGAGGGTACCGACATGTCTGAATCTCGCATCCTTCTCTCCCAGCTTGCCGACCTCGCCCAGCGGCACCGCCGGAATCCATACATGCCTGGCACATTGGAGAAATTTGCTTCCCTCGTCCCCGAACTGCATTCCATGGCCGACTCACTAGCTTCGCCCGTCCGAATCTCCGAACCAAAAGCAGAGTCTCACGAGCCTCCACCACAACCCACACTCCCAACTCAGCCACTGACGCAGCCACCTGCCATGCCGCACATGTACCACCAATCGCCTACTGCGGCTGGCACGTACATGTTTCCAGATGACATGCAGAGCCGCGGCTATCCAGATCAATCATACGTCGGTCCGGCCATTCATCCCACTGGCCGATATGATCGCAACACACAAATGCATTTTATGGACTTTACCATCAACCACATGAATGACTGGAATTGGCACGACATGACCGGTTTGCTCGGTGATGGCGTCTCAGGCGTACCAAACATACCTGGCGACCCCCATGTACACGGACCACAATCTACAGGGCCAAACTGAAAGCTGGCTGTAGCATCCAACTACACAAGTACGAATGAGCGCGCATATGCGCAAGAGATACCCCCTCCTTGAACCTCCCTTGCTCCATGTATTGCCTTACTAGCATGATTGTAATTTTCAAGTAGCGGCATTGGTCTCCGCTTATTCTCCAATTTTTTTTCAAGTTTGTCTGCACATTTGTCCCCATTTTGCACGCCCACATGAATGGTTCCAGAGACTGGGTTTTCAACAGACCCATCTTGACCCATGTTTAAAAATGGTCCACGCCTTCCCTCCTCCTCCCAACATCTTCCGTCTTATATACCCAGTCGTAGTAGTAGTAGGCGTGTATACGGAAGAGACCCATCTACCCCTTTCATGTCCACTTAGTATCTTCCAACTTGCTTTCCAATTTTCCAGTGGGGCAATAAAGGAGATTTTGTTTGTTACTATTTATTTACTTAAAAAAAAATTTAAAATTCTAATCAACTGCCTTTTCCCTTTTTTTTGGTTACGCATTCCCATATATGCAAAGTTGGTATCATTTCCAAAAACCATGAACGGGCTACATGACTAGAACTGTACCAGATGAACAATCCAAAAAAAAACAAAAAAACGCACTCATCCCTTTCCTAAGTACTTTCCCAATGAAAAAAAAAGGTCATGATAGATTGCCAAAACAGAAACCAAGGCGAAGAGAGAGAAAGAGAGAAATATGCCGGTGTGAATGTCGGACAATGACAAATGTCGACCATCGCCCGCCCCCCTCATAAGTCATATGAGGCAAACTCTCCCCGAGTCCTTTTTTTCCCCCATCCCAATTTGACCAGCGAGCATTCGAAAAAAAAACACCAGTCTCAGTCGAATCTTTCACTGACTTTCCCATATTGCGCATTACCAAATTACCGCATCCCTCCCCCAAAACCGGAGCGAGAACACACACAAAGAAGAAGAAAAAAAAGTCCCAGAATATCGAAGTTGGTCGAAATAAAAGAGTGGTCGTGGTCGTATCACTCAGAAAAAAAAGGGGAGGGGGAAGGAAGACGAACATGTGCGATAAAGGCACTTTTGTTCATCTCCCTCCCTCTCTCTCTCTCTCTCTATTCCCTCCATCCATCTCTTCCTCCGACCCCTCCCCCCCACCCCCTAGTCTCTAATCAAGTGTCCCCACTCCCCTTTCTTGACTGCAAACCCCCGATCCCTCAACACGCCATCCATTTTCACCTGCGCTTCCAGTAACTTTGCCGTTGCGTCTGCTTCATCGTGTTCTCCCTCATCGTCTTCTTCTTCATTGCTACTATCACCATGTTCGTCCAATGCATCAAGCAGTGCATGCGCGCTTGTCTCGAGCTCATCGATGCGTTCGAGAGCTGCTGAGAGTGCGGAGTGCAGGATGTCTTCGTTGCGAGTAGTAGTAGCAGTAGTGGTGGTGGGGGCGGTGCGGAGAGTGGCTGCGGTGTTGTTGTCGTTACTGTTGTTGCTGTTGTATCTTGCGGCGCATTGGCGGTGCAGGAGGGCTTTGAGGTGGAGATTTTGCTGTTGTGTTTTCTCTTTGTTGCGGTCACTGCGCCGGAGTTTGGTCATGTTTGCTTTTGCTTCTTGGAGTTGAAGGGCCAGACTGTCGTGTTTGGCGGTTGCGTCTTCGAGTTTTTTGTTGGTCGAGTCGAGGCTTGTTGTTGTTTCTTTGAGGGTGGAGGCGAGGGAGGTGGCTAGGGTTGAGGAGGTGTCGCCTTGGGTTTTGAGAGAGGCGTTGCCCTTTTTGAGCTTGGAAATGATGTGCTCGCGGTCTTTGAGCTTTTTGTTGGCCGCAGTGATGGTCTTGTTGGCCTCTTCGAGGGCTGAGGAGTGTTTTTCGACGAGGGTACGCCATTTTTCGCAGTCGCGACTCAAGCTGCTAGCGAGCGCTTGCGTCACGGCAAGCTCTCTGAGGAGAGGTTCGTTATGTAGAGAATGGAGAGTAGGAAGATTGGATAGTGCTGACGGGGGGTTACCTACCATGGTGTTTTCTTGACCCGTGGTCCGAGTCTCTGTCGACGACTCGGCCAGGGCGGATACATGACGCCTGAGGGTTGAGGGCCGCAGCTTTGATCTGGCTGGGACGAGGGATGATATCCCACTATCTTGGGCTGCCATGGTTGCTTGTTGTCGAGATTGAAGTGTACAACTCTCGACTGGTTGTGTAGAAGGTTAACAAGGGTTGGGCAAACCGCAAGTCTTATAAAGGGGACAATGAACCGCTCACTGCGGAATCTGAGGCAAACGGAAGTGCGCGTCACTACCAGACTAATTGTAGGTGAAAGTGAAAACTCCAAGGTAAGCGTGGGATACGCGTTCACTGTCGATTGAAGCAAAACGCGATATGACAACGACAAACTGAAAAACATTATCACTTGAGATTTCTGAAGAGATGGATGTAAAGATAGGGATGGATATTAAATTTATATGGGTATACAAGATCAATAGCTAATACATACTAGTCAAAACCCATACCTCACTTACAGCGCCATTGCTATAGCAAAGACACCGACAGCACCTCCAACAACCTTCATAGCGCCCGTAGGCAAGGGCCCAGCAGCCGCCAAACCCTGACTTGGCGTCGACGCAGCATTCGATCCCGAACTCGCCGGCGCGTTTGCACCACTACCCGACGCAGTACGCGAAGATGTACCTGTGGGTGTAGGCGTCACTGAAGCCGAAGCCGAAGCGGGCGAAGCCGCACCACTTGCGCTCACAAGGCTCACAACCTGGTATGCCTGCATATCCTGAATCTCGCTCTGAGACAGCACATTTGTAGTTGACTGTTGGCGGACGCTCTGATTAGGGATACTCCCGCTTTGAGCGACGTCGCAGGTCAAGTCTGCCTTTGTCACTTCGCCTTTCCAGCTGCATTTCATGTCGACGGTCCATGCGCCGGGGACGGGGTCGGTGAGGTGGAATTCGTATGTCTCGGGGCCTTGGATGATTGTGTAGGGCTCGCAGAAGGTGTAGTCATCGTCGGAAGCACTGGCTTGCCGGCGCATGCGAGGTGCGGGTGTGGGTGCTGGGGTAGCAGACGCATCTTCTGGAGTTGGGACTGGTAGGGTTCAGAATACAGTCACGATTTGAGGAATTGTAGTTACAACATACGCAAGTCGGATGGTACTGCAGAGATACCAGCAGCATCTGAGGGACAAGAGTTTTGGAATGTGGTTGCCTTTGCGTCTGAGCCCAGGACAGTGAGTGTGCTGTCGAATTGGAAGAAATTTATGACTGTAGCAGATTCTTGCGCAAGAACAGCGCCTGCGAATAGCGTCATGTAATTGTAAGAACGCATGGTGAATATTGAAGTGATGCGATGGAGTGGCAGATATACAATGGGGGTACTGAAAATCCGGGGAACCACTGAGCTATGTCATGTCCAACACTCTCTTTATATTCAAGAAAAGAAAGCGGTACTACACCCGGGCTAGCTTCTATCCGGTCTCCGTCCTACGAGTCACAACATTGTCGTGCCTTGCATTGGTGATGATGTATCAGCAATTGCCAGTGGTTGCCTAACATACTAACTGTATCTGGCGCTTAATAATTCCAGGGGGTGGCGTATCGCTTAGCAATAGCGAGCAAATCATTGTGAATATTGTGGGAATGTCACAGGGGCAGGCCTGATGGTTTATATTTTGGGAAGAAAAAATAGATTGTCTAGATTTGCGATTTGATCGTGGTCGAAAAACGCTACCTTGTATCAAATCCTTCCAACTGCATCGGCGGCTTAGTGGATCGCAGATATCTCCGATGCATTAATGACAGCTGTAGACATGCAGTGGGATTAGGAAGGAACTCTGCAATTAGTTCATTAGTTATCTACTCACGAAGTTTGTACGAAGCTGCTGTACGGCATGTTTTGTATTCCACGCAACTAGATCTCGTACCGACTTGACAACGGCGGGAGAAATTTGTCAAATAAAAAATGTGGATAAAGTACTGATATTCCGGACATATCTAATGTCATATAGATTTGTTGTTTGGTCAAAAGCAAATCCAGAGCAACAATTACATAGCCGTGTTCTCCATCAAGAACAAACATCATGGAAGGCACGTATACACAAAGTCAGGGCATCTTCTATCTGACATAACAAGAATCCCCGTAATCGCATATCAGCAGCGAAAATACTTTTTCTTGAGATATTCCTATTCAGTCAATACTTGCATTGCATCAGCACCATCCATAACAAAACATATCATAGAACCATATAGTCATCTGCATTAAAGTACATCCATACTGCTTGAACGGGTAGACCCATTGCTAGCTTTTGCACGCCCCACCAAATGCCAATACATAAGTCGAAGTTGACCCTGGCCACCCCTGCATTCCAAAGAAATCATATCTGCCATACTACATATTCTTAGAAAGGTCGGAAGCCTCCAGTGGGCTGTGGCGCAATGCCATTCGTCTGTCCATAAGGACCTGGAGACGGAGCTGAGCCCATAGGGCCCTGCGTGAGCATGAGACGCGAACCCAAGATTGGCGTGTCCTCCTCTTTCTTCTGCTGTGAGGCCTCACGGACCTTGCGCTCTTCGTTGTCCTTCTTCAGCGCCTCAAGAGTCGCGGTCTGTTGGGCGATGAGGTTGATCATGTATGGCTACGAGACGTTAGTATATGTGATGTAATACAAAATGACTGATACATACCATGGTAAAGTCATGGAGACCATTGCGCCACGACATCTCGAGGATGACGTCTGGTCGGAGGAGATCGTAACAGGCATAAAGCATACCGACATAGCATTCGCGGCTGCCAATGTCGACAAACTATACAAGTAATTAGCATTGTACCCTAGTAACACCATAGATCGACTTACATAGCGGAGCAGATCCTCGACAACCTCTGACTTGCCAGATGTTGCGGCGGTTTCGATAGCGTCTTTGAAGAGTTTGTCCTGTTTAGACAGGGCAATGGACTTCTCCCACCGCTTGTTCTTGCGATAGATGTCGGCCGCAATCTGGCGGAAAAATACCAGATCGTGCTTCTCCAGGCGCTGTGCAAGATCGACAGGGTCGTAGTTGGTATAGTTGTTGACTGAATCGCGGAGTGTTTTGTAGTCCTCCTCTTCAATAAGGAGCTCGTGGAGGGCGTTGTTCACCTCACGCTTGTTTTGTGACTGAACGTTGAGAAGGAAAGGCTTGATCAGAGGAATGTTGTCAGACTTGGTGAACATCCGGACTACGCGGTTGACGTCGATTCGAGGAGTAAGCGCTTGTAGGAGGTCGGTCAGGAGAGTGGGATGTTGCTCCAGATAGAATCCCAGCGCCCGGTAGTAAATCTCAACGTTGCTAGCTTTAACAATCGTGTCTTTGAAAGCCTGATGCTCCCAGGCATCCGTCGATCTTTCCATCATGGCCAGGGCCGCTGGAATAGGTCAGTATTGAATACATTTACAGCTGCAGAATGCAGGGCGGGCGTGTCTTACCATTGTCCCATTCGTCATAATGGACATACAAGAACACGAGTTCGGGCCAGAGGTGAGCCTCCTCTACCGCACGGATCATCTTGGGAATGTTGATACGTCCTAAATGGTTATGAAGTTAGATGTGTTCGATGGCAAGATTGGATAATTACACATACCCCAGTGAATGCGGATTGTCTCCATGACTTGTTCAGGCTTGTACTTGGCAAGCGACTCTCCGAGGGCAGTATACATTCCCATGTGAGCTGTAGGGTATTAGTGCATGTCTCATAGAAAAATTGATCAGGAGTGCTTACCTCTCTCCAAGCCAAGACCTGCCTCAAGAAGGTTGATCAGCTCATCAAAGTAACCATTGCGCTCATACTGCTTGACAAGGTCTGCTAGTTCTTCGGCATGAACAATCAGGTTGAGGCCACAGATCTGAGCAAGACGGAACTCCTTCTTTGCCACACAGGCCTCGTTGACTTGCTTCCATGTCTTGATCGAATTCGCCTTCCTGGCACATTCAACCGCACCTTGGTAGTCCTCAAGGTGGACGAGAGTGGTGGCAAGCTTGGCCCAGTTGGAGATGCTAGTATAGAAGATCTTGGCAGCCTCATGGTAACCCTCTTCGTAGGCCTTGTCTCCCGAAGCTTCGGCATCGGCAACGTTGGTAGCGCGTAGGAAGTCCTCCAGCTCCGCCAGCTGGTTTGTGCGAGCGAAACAGAAAGCCAACGCTGTATCGATAGGAACTTCACGGAGAGTCTTACGAGCCATCCTCAAGAATTTGATCAAGTCCTCGTCTTTGCCAGCATGGGTGGCGATTTCGATGACTTCCAAAAAGTTGGATGGATCTTCGGCGCGAATATAGGATTCAATCGAGTCTGAGACGCGTAGACCATCGAGTTGTGCCTTTGCAACCCTGCTCCATACCTGGGGCAGGTCGACGCGGTCGGCGTACTCTTGTGCTCGGTCAATGCTAACAATGTGCTCAATGAGAACGTTGGCAGCCTCGACGTGGTTCTCGTGCTTCTTGTAAATCTCAAAAGCCTCATCATACATGCCAACCTCAATACACTGCTGTGCGATGTCTTCGGGAGTGTATTGGTCAAGTTGCTGGATGTAGTTCATCACCCTGCCACGGTCAGACTTGCAAGCAGTAAGCATCAACAAGTTCTGGAGGGAAGGGTTGTCGCTGAAAGTTGAAGGCTCAAGGATAATCTTCTCCAGCAGCTCAATCAACTCGGCAGGCATGTCACCGGTGATGAAAGCCTTCACTGCAACTGAAACCTTGTCTGGATCGGTAGAAGAGGGCACCGCTGATGAGATGACCTGATCAACAAGTGATCGGCGATGAATGTTGTTAGGACTGATAGCAAGTTAGCCAGATTCTATTATTAGCATGAAGCAACAAATGAACGTACCTTAGGACGTAATCCCAAATCTCAGAGTCGGCCCTCTCAAGTAAGTATCGGGCTTGGGCTTTGTACATGGCGTTCTCGTTTGTGATGTTGACCAACTCGAGATCATTCTGACCTTTCGTATAACAGATCGCCGCGAGATTTGGATCACGCTTCTCACAGTACTTTCCGACAACAAGAGTGTCGTACTGATCATTCTCTTTCAAAAACTTCTCAGGGTCGTTGTTACTGTCGATGTAGATCTTTGCCAACGCGTTGTATACTGCTTGTTGCTGGTTACCGCTCGCCAAGGTTTGCTCCAAAAATGGAAGAAGCAGTTTGAGACGGTTGCGCGACTCGACCTCGGCGACCAACTCATCAATGGGAATAGACGATGGTGTAATGGAAGCCAACAAGCCCTTGATGATGCTCTCATCACAATCCACATCGAGGAGGCCGCCGACAACTGCTGGGGTGCGGGCAGGGTTGACGCGCTGAACATAGACCTCGATGGACTTGAATTGCTGCTTCTTGTAGAGGTGAAGAACCAAGTCGTGCACAAAGTTGAACCGGTCACAGACAATGATGAGAGGCAACTGTTCGGTCAAGTTGGCCTCCTTCAAGAAGTTCTTGGCCTTTTCACCGTTCAAGTAGTCTGTAAGTAAGATTAGTGACATGTTCTACGGAAATTTTACCATTTTCCGAGAAGGAGTACTTACTACTCTCACGACAGATGCGCTCAACTTCGTTCAGCTGGCCCATGGTAGTTGCGGCCTCAATGTACTTGAAGTGAACATCGGGGTCCTCGCTGACATTGACAATGGAGCCGAGGAAGAAGTACAAGCCTTCCGCTGTACGGTGCTTCTCCAAGAGATCGATGATGCGAGTGGCACCCAATAAGTCAGAATACTTTTGGGCAATGCGAATGACGGCTTGCAGATTTTGGCGGATATTTGTTGTAAGCATAGCGTCAAGGCACTCGAGGGATAGCTCTACAGTCAGTTGACCAAAGTAGTTGATAAGCCACTCTTCTGGAAGCTTGTCGGTTTGGACAATGATGCGCTTGATAGCGGCGGGGTCATCATTGTGTTCCAAGGCTCGAGTGAGTAGACCAGCGTTCTCGCAAAGCTGAGCAATACGCAACTTGTCATAGTGATGGAACATCTCATTGCCCAAGATGGCGTCTGCAACCTGGGGTGCATTGAGCAAGTTCATCTCCAACAATTTAGTCTGCATGTGTCCTTCTTCCGGCAAATCATTTGAAAGAACGTCGAGAAGGAAGGCGGTAGCCTGTTGGATCATGCCTTGGGATTGGAAGATATCGACAACGCGATCAATGCTGACCAATGGACCGCCCTCATTCTTGGCCAATTGAGACGCGAACTCAGCACCCTTCTCTCCATTCACACGTACAACGTGTTGAAGGAGGACGTTGTAATCAGGTGTGTAGCCAACGCTGTTGCAATATTGGAGGATGAGGTCATAATGGCCAAGCTCTGCGAGTGCCGCGACAACCTTCTGAGGTACGTTTGCTTCCTTGTAGATAACCAAAGCGAGGTTCAGGTCATGCGGCTTAGCAAGGTCACCAAGCTCTTCAGAGCAGTGCAGCTTGCCCTCCTTTTGCCACTTTTCGATGAGATGTTTACGGCCCTGCGCAAACACAGGTCGAGCTAGCTCCAGAGTCTCCTCCTTGTTCAAGCCGCCCTTGTCCAGCAATTGACCAAAGTACTGCAGAAGCGTAGTGATCTGCCCGGGTTGGCTGGGAACTGCACGTAGTCTGGAGATTGTGTTCATCGTACGAAGGAAACCCCGCGGTGAGCTGGCAGCGACCTTGACTGCCTCCGCGTAGTTTCCTTGTGACATGAGCGTCTCGAATCGCTGCGAATAAAGTTGGTCTGCACCTGGAAGTCCACCTTTTGACGCCAACTTGTAGGCAATCTCAGCGCATGCCGGGTTTTCCATAATGTACGGAATCAAGGTATCTTCACGAATAGTCGTGTGGAGCACCTGTCCTCGCTTGTTAATGACAACTACACCAGTGCCTTCGTCATCACGAGCGGTAGTGAAGACTGTTTCCTCAGATATCCTGTTCAGGAAAAGAGCGGTACCAGTCTCGAGATCGTGGAGGTGAATGAAACCAAACTTCGTGATTACGATTAAAATGCCGTACTTGTGTGCAATATGGATGCCCAGTGGAAAGTCGCCAGTACCCTCGGCGGGCCAATGGATCGGGATGAGGCGCTTCGGGAAGGCAGGGTTCGCAGCGTTGTGGTCAACCTCGACGATATTGATCTTAGCCTCCCCAGTAGATGACTTGACTGCGAAAGCGAAGATCTTTGTGTCGGTTGATGCACCATCGAGGCGAAGAGTTCCGAAAGTAGCCGCGTGGCCCTCAAGAGGCTGGCTCACATTCCTTGCCTTTGAGAAAAGCTGCATGTTGCCACGAATGCCGCCGGCAGGGTTAGAGGTGATGCCAACCAAGCAAGACCAGCTTTCGTCATCGTTGGTCACGTAATTGATGATTTGGTTGTTCTGCACAGCGGGTTAGATGTGATTGGCGATGCCTAGGTGAGTCTGCATACCTCAAGCTGCTCTTGTCGGTCGAAGATTTTGCGCGGCGCAACAGCGTTCTTCGAGTCGAGGACATCCCAGTGATATACGGCTTTCGTGCTGACAAGCGCAAGAGTTGTCTGGCTGATCCACCTCCAAAACTGAATATCCTCTTGGTGGCTGTACGTTTGCAGGCGCTCCTTGGTCTCAAGGTTGAACAGCTGCAGTGTCCGGCCCTGTGCCTTGAGAGCTATGATAGGCTCGGTCAAGTGCATGATAGCGCTATCCGCGCGAATAGGTCTCCGAATGACATTGTTCGTATTCTTGAGGTCGATGATGACGGTCTCGGCGGGCGCGTTTGCTTCATTGTTGACCTGGCGCACGCAGACGTACTTGTCGGATTCAAGTGTCTGAATGTGTTGTAAGTAATCTTGATTTTGCTTTTGCTATGTCGAGAAGTCACATACACAGTTTTGCCATGATATCGATGCCGGCTGTAGTTCATGTCAGCTTTGTGATCCTTGCGGGTTCTGCTGCCGCCAACTTGTCGCTAAGACAACGTACGAGAATGTTCAGGTTCGTGAGCTGTCAATTGTTAGCTTATGCATGCCCCATGAAACACACTTTCAATTGACAACATACCAGCGTCGGCTGTGTGACGTGCAATGGAACTTGGCGCTGGGCCATGTTTGCGACAGTCCAGCTCCGAGCTCACCGCAGTGAGAGAGCGCGCAAGAATCGGGTATAGGAAAGAAAAGAGAAGAAGTAGACCCAGATGCACAACTCCGAAAGCGCGCAATAGGAAATGAGAGACGGGTGTTCAAGGCGGGGTGGAGGCTGGGGTAGGGGATGCTTTTCGTAGAAAGGAGCTCGTGTTGTTTCCACATACGCTGGATCGCCCTATCCGTGATGATGTAAGCACCCAATCAAGTAACGTGCAGCACCAGTAAGCTGGCCACACCAGTAAGCTGGCCACCCACCCAACCTGACGCGACGCTCCACGCCATTGAGCCACAACAACGCAATAATATTAGATAGAAGTAAAAGATATTATTCTTTATCTAGCTCTACATAAAGTCTAAGTATATCCTTAAACGTGACACTTTATACACGTTGGCGGCGCGCGCTAACGTCGCTCGCAAGTCTGGTTCTAGTCACCCCCTATAACTACCCTTTCTACCTCTATAATAATCTACTAAGCCTATTAGACCTAGAGCACCCTACTAGAAGTAATATATTAACGCTATTAGTCCTACTTTTATTATTAACGCTTATAGCCTTAATAGAGCTTCTTAATTTCCTCTATATATATTATTACTATTTATATTATAAGCTAAGCGCTTTTAGTAAGCTAGAGTATTATAACGCTTATTAGGCTCTCTAATTTTTAGCGTAGCCGCTCTTAGAGATAGTAGATCTACTACTAAAGCTACGCTACTATCTATAGTATTTCTAGCTACGTTATAGTATTATTATCTATAGCTATCTATAGTAGAGATAGTATATAGATAACTATAAGAGACGATAGAACGCGATCTAGATAAGGAGAGATAAGGCCTATCGCTTAAAAACCTACCTAAATATTCTACTATATAAATACTATTAGCTAGATCTATATATAGGCTATAAGGAAGTCTATCTTATTAATATAGTAGACGCTTTAGTAGGTAAGTGTAACGGGCTGAACGCCCTTTAGATAGCTCCTCGATGGGATCTCGGGTTAAGCCGCACGCTCGCCATCTGAACTGCGTTCAGACCGAGCGGCGCTCAGGCAGCGCGCTCAGACAACGCGCTCAGATACACCGGCATAACCTT